AATCTAATGGTCAGGTTTTAATCACAGAAACAGCCTAAGAGTATAAATGTATACATGAAGTAATCTTGTATTCATATTAAATGTCTCTTCTGCTTTATTTAGTTTATGGAAAATGTCCATGAAGACTGCAAAATAAAACCACCAGACAACAGGATAGATTTTGAGCCATGGGATATGTGCAGTGAAGAGATTTGACTGACCTTTTTAAGAGCAATATATAACAAAAATATGACCCAGCAGAATACATCAGAAAACTGCATACTGAATCTGAGCCTGTGTCGGCTTCATGTTAACATCAGCAATTCACAGAGCTGCTAAAAAATGAAGCAACACACAGATCACTGTCAATGTACCTGTACCTTATCACAAAAATACTTTATGTAGAAGAGACACATTTCATTTTTAGATGCAAAGCTTCCCAAATTCTAACACCAAATTGGCCCACATCAGCTTTCTCCAGATACTTGTTGAAAAACAGTTGTGTATTTCAAAGTGGTGTTCCTGGCCAGCAGTACCTTCATCCATCCCAATGTGTGACAGCAGCACAGAGGACTAAGGTTCATACTGATAACGCAAGGCATGCTAGCACTAGGGAGAAAACTCAACAGCTCCATTGTGTTTTGGGGCTGCCCACTATCATGCACAATACAGTAAATCAGTGGATTTCTCCGGTGGAATGAGCAGCGTCTTTTGCAGGACTGGTCTCCTTCAGGACCCCCTGACTCTCTTGTTGACCAAGTGTGTTCTTCACCTTGCTGTTTCCTAGATGTATCACTTGGCAGTCTTCAACGCTTAGCAAACAAAACCTGACTCTTGGCAGCAAGGAATTTACTTTCTTCTTCTTACCTTTGGGGCTGCCATTAAAAATACTACCACTATTAATGAACTGTAACCATAGATGAGGTACCAAAAAAACATTTGCTCTGAGTTCCAAGCGGCAAAAAGTACCAGAATAAAGATTAGTTAAAAAAAGAACAAGCTGACAAAAAAGAAGGCCAACCATCCCATTTTTTCACATCTCACCCACTTCCCAATAAACTTGGTGTTTGGAATTCATTAAAAGCCATATCCCCTCTCCAAACACGGAGCCTTTGGATTTACATTTCTATTAAAAGCAGAACAAGAAGCCGCTGTGTGGAGTAGCTGGAATGAAAGTATGTGAATGGCGGAGCTGGCATCTGGCAGCCTGTGAACAGAGAAGTAGCAAAGGGACGGACTTCTCTTTACACTCAGTAACTGGGGATCGCAACCTTTGGCCCCAGCATCCCCCAAGCAGAGTTTCTCAAAGCTGATGGAAACAGCTCTCCGGCCAGGGCAAAACCTGCCTGCTTCCCTCTTTTCACTTGGCCAGCCTCCCACATACAACACAGAAACACATTGGTGCCACTTGATGCACAGCAATCAGATTTGCCAATCTTGCAATTCTTATTGACATAACGACCCAAAACATGCTTTTCTGGTCAGCAATAGTCAGGGTTCTGGACGCCTTAACAGGAGGTTGTGGAATAGGGTACACTGCAGTTGTACCCCTAACAAATGTACTTCACCTCAATTGCTCTAGTTAAATAGCCAGCTGCATAGATCAATGGAAATGTAAGGCGCTGTGGTTAAAAGTGCCAACCAGACAAATTAGTAATAATACTTTCGTGAATGTCTTTTTCTATGTTCAGATGCCACTGAAAAAGAAACTTGCTTTCCTGCTGCCTATCAGAGAGTGTGTTGGGGCTGGGGAGGTGACTCCAGTATGAAATCAAGGTCATAGTCCATGTCTCCTCCAAACTGCTCTGCGAGTATTTATACTGGCGAGTTCACAACACTGTTAACTTCGACAGTGTAAGGAATACATCTTCCTAGTTTTCATAAAAGTTTTTGGAATTTGTTGTCATTTATAGATATGAGGACTGCATTAAAAATGGACCCTTTTAATGTCAGTCCATACATTTACAGTTAGCAACCCTGACGTTAATGTACGGATTACTCTCAGTTACCACTCTTTTCAGTTTCTACCAGGGATTTGTTGGTTAATGTTATTTTGATAGCCTGTCCCATTATTTAACCTCGCCTCAACAGAAGGCCCAATGAAAAGAAAGGAATTTCACACCTAAAAACTAAATTAAGAAAAGTACAACAGGCAAAAACACACTTCTAAATGAACAGAACGGATCTGTTAGACAGATGATGCCAAAGACAGAAAAGCAGCTGCACGATAGGTTAAAAGAACTTGCAACTCCGCAGATTTGGAGTTTCCTCAAAATGCTTATTGCTACAATGCACTAAATATGCAAAAATGTGACTCAATAAAGAGGCTAACTTTTAATGATTATTAAACAGAAATATACAACATCGGTACTTGAAGGCATTCAGATTAGCAGTCATTCATCAACCATTTTCTAACTGCTTTGTCCTAGTCAGTGTTGCAGGGGAGCCGGAGTCTATCCCAGCAAGCATCGGGGCGCAAGACAGGATACATACTGGATGGGACTAGATTAGCAGTGAAATCTGCAGGACTGCAGCCTTCAATAACTGGGGTTGCCTAACCTTGATCTACCCTGATACTTTGGACAAATATTTAAGCTGACTCTTTTCTATGTACTGTTAATCATTTAGAATCATTCTAAGGGATCATCAGAATCAAGAGCACATTTTCTAACTGTGAAAATAAGTCATACTATACCATAGAACAGTTGAGAATGAGTGTGGTTGCTGGATTGTAGCTGTGAGCGTGTAAAACACACAATTGTGTATTTCAAAAACTAGGTCAGGATAACACAAACAGAAATTGGATCCGGAATTTCTACCCAAAAAGTTTACCAACAAGATGAGACCATCTCTCCATAAAGAAGCAGTGGTATCAGCTCTGGCAATGAGGCTACAGTGTTAACTGTAGCCTTTTTTATTTCATTCATCATCTGTAACTCTGTTGTTGAATTGCTTGGGTCTTTATTTTACCTTTCTTACTTATAGAGCAATTTCAAGACTTTACCTAGCCATATCTATTCATCATATGGTCTGAAAACTAATATTATTGATACAGTGCTTACAGATTAGAGTATTTGCTGATGTACTGTAGTTTGGTACAATGAAAGCCTTGGAAAGTGAGCGTCCAGTGCTTGTTCTGTATAATAGTAAAGTAAAATACATGTATAGGGAAGAGAAATGAAAGAGGATAATACCTGTAATTCTCTGTTAGACACAATTATTTATATATATATATTTTAATGTAGCTTAAGATGGCCAGGGAAAAATACAGTAACAAAACACAAAACAAAAACAAAGCAAAAAACCCCACAAAACAATGTGATGTTTGAGGTTGCTCTGAAAGGGATTTTTTCTAAAAAGGTCCCTGCTGACCTGAAATAGCTTAACAGGCATGTGTGATGGTAATGTGAAAGTCTGAGGTGACACAACTTCCTTAATCACACACAGCTTCACAGCACTCAAACCAGAAATGTCTTCTCAGTGTACAATGAGCACCTCCTCCACAGTAAGAACAAATACCTGTGGCTTTGAGAACACAATTTCTGAGAGTAAAACAATTCCCATCACTGTCTGAAATAAGCTCATTAGGGGCTTAAAACTGTTAACTCATCCTACATATGAATGTAATACATAGAATATACAGTAGTTATATGTCATGTCATTCGCCAAACTGCTTTATACCATACAGTGTCGGGGGAAGCCGGAGCCTACCCTGCAAGCAACAAGCGCAAGGCAGGGTACACCCAGGATGGGACGCCAGTCCATCGCAGGGCAAGTGCAAGCCAATCATGCTTTGGGAGAATTTGGAGGCCATGGTAAAGGCCGAGGGGGGAAATTTGGCCCAGACACTGGAATAACTCCCTACTCTAATCGAGAAAATGCACCTGGATCCTTAATGACCACTGAGATTCAGGACCTCGGTTTAATGTCTCATCCAAAAGATAGCGCCCACTACAGTATAGTGTCCCCGGTTACTCATTACTAAGGTTTTACATTTCCCTGTTACACACTGAAAAAAACTATTGACTATTACACAAGATAAAAAACAAAATTGTATCATATCATCTCATTAATATTGTTCGTACCGACCCGCTTTCTCACTAAATAAACATTTGCAGAACCACAACATAAATCTCACTTTTAAACTTTATAATACAAATATTTTTTACACAGTATTTTTTCAGACCAATTTGTGGTGTTACCTTCTGCATGAAGCTTAGATAGATGGTTTTATATTTGTTCTATTCCACTGAGAATCTATTGACGGGACCATTTGAAAGCCATGAGGTCTGTTTGCTTTTACAAAAACTGTATGACAGAGAGGTTTTCATTAGGCCTTTACATAATTATCAAAAACGTATTTGAGTTGCAGCACACTAACACTGCATTAATGGGAAACACAATGACACAGAAACAGGGGAGTTTTATTAAAAAGTAATCAAGTAATAAAAAAAATATTTTTTTCCTAACAAGAACTTTTTCTAAACTGAATGAATGTGGATTTCACCAGGTGCACAATGTCCATCTTCATCCCTGTGTGTGTTATTCTAAAATATCCACAGCACACTCTGTGAGGAAAGGTTTTTTTGACTGGTCTTTAACTGATGTCACTGGCTCCCGTGTTGTACAGTACTGTATGTCACTTTGTCAGAGAGAGAAACAGTTTGCTTTTCACTGCTCGCTGGTGCTCTCCCACTTGTTTTTGCTCTCTCTTCAGACTCAGCAGTGATATTTGATCCTGGTTTGACTTTTGACCCTAATGTGCAGAATATTGTAAAAACATCATTCTTCCATCTCACACATAGCCCCAGACTGCAACCTATGTTGTCTTTAACTACTGCAGAAAAGACAGTCACACATTTGGTTTTTCTAGAATTTTTCTAGAATTGATTATTGCAACGTCCAAAATGCACTTAAGGAGCTCAGTTAGAAAGCACGACAGCACAAATAACACATACTAAAGTTAAAAACAGAACCTGAACAACTCCTGGCACCAAAACCATACAAACAGGTGTCCTTACCTTCCAGGTGGAGCCCATCTTTCTGGAGGGTATAGTTAAACACGGCAAAGGGAGCCACTGGGGATTTGGCAACGATGATCTACAAAACAAAGAGCACAATACACCCAGTTATTTGACTGGGCTACTCAGACTTGTCTGTAATAAAGGCCAAAGACAGGGGCTCCCATTGCATAGCAGCGTGAGACAGGTTTAATGAACTACAGGCTGGTGTGTAAAACTAACACCAGGTGGTGGGTATTTTAACAATATTTCATAACCGGACATGGAGGTGAAATAACATTTAATACTCTACCACCCTGCCCCACTAATGCAATATGTTTAAAGTCTGCAACTCAGGCTGCCTGTAATGGATCACACTGCTGTAAAATGGGCATCTTAAGCATTAACATGTCAAGACTGCCCTTTTCAGTGATGACCTTCCAGCATAAAATGTGTGTTTGAGTTTAAAAAAACAAAGATTGAATTTTTTTCAGCTTGCCTCCAAAATTGGTTTTGCCCAGAGCAACACTGATGCACAAGTTCAAGTCAAAATAAATACAAAGGAATGTCAGATGTTTGATGAACCTTCTGGAGAAATTTGAGACCCCTTTTTTTTTTTCCTCCTTTCAGGCAACTGGATGAAGGTTGTTCACTAAGGCAAGAACACTCTGCAAGATGGAAAAAGTCTGCAGTATAGAGCAGAGATCTTGCATGAACAAAGAAATCAACTTTATAGGCAATTTTAAGCAATGACGACCCTTTCTAACGTACTGCTGACCATTAGTACATAGTGAGCCAAGGTCAGAAAGCTCTATCCATAAACTGGCAGCAAAAGCAGCACATTTCTGAATGACACAGATTTCACCTGTGGTGTGACCATACCAAGTTTCACCATCCATTTTTTTGTGCCTTCTAGACAAGAAGCTTCTAACTTAACCTTGCCCCTCTTATTTATTCTGGCTCAAATAAAGTATTATTGCCACTGAAAAACATTGGTAAAGTGGGACAAGAGGGACAAGAGGGACAGAGAATGATTCAGAAAGAAAAAGATGGTCAGGATAGGACAAACCTAGGAAAATGCTGACTATACACACTAGTCTTTGAAAATAGGTATTTTATAGCACAGTGTATATAGTAGTTGTAGTTGGAGATTCCAGTGTGTATTCCTCTGGGAAATGTAACTGACATCTGTAAATCTTGGTTTTGAAATACCTGTAAATACTGTATAAAATGGCAGCCTAGATGCTCTGTGACATAAAATACACTAATACAAAATACATTGTTTTGTTTAGGAAACAACGAGCGAGGACACACTGTTATGCTGTGCCAGGAAGAGAAAGCCATTACCCTTAACCTCAAGAAAACACCCTGACAATACGAGACAACGCTGCCCTTCCCGAAAAAAGGCCAGCACACAGCAGCCTTCCTGAAAGCCACCTCACATGTGGCCATTCTACTCCGTAAATCGAACAGCCGTATTGTCCCTGACGCAAAGACATTCTTGCAAACAGAAAATGGAAAAACACCTCCTTATTCATGCTGTGATTTGGCCCCAAAGAACCAAAGTAGGAAGTGAAACCTTTGCATGAACTTTCAGCAGCATGATGAATTACACACCATATGTCCTCTGTATAAATCATAACAGTGTGCTTCTTAAAGACTAAGGCTGTCAGGGTAGAAGATGGAGAAGACAGAGGTTTGCAAATGTTTTGTATAACAAAGCACTGGTAAAGGTCAGAATTTGCAGTGAGCAAAAAGAGACACGCTCCAAATATTAACCTGATCTGTATTAGGATATATTTATACAGTAGATGGATATATATAGAATACTCACCAATACATACACACAGTAAATGGGAAAACACATGAGGAAAGGACTACAGTATATTTAGTTTAAGTTTGACAGTTTCACTATTACACCACTTTTACATTTATTTTCACTGAACAACGATGACCATGTTCAACAAGTACAAATAAGAACTACTTTTGCAGAAAATAAACAAAAAATAAAAAAATCAATCTGGCTTTTTAAAGGGCTGCACACCTTCACATGTCATGTGTGTTCTTAATCAATTCAGTGTAGAAAATTAGATGCAATTAAAAAGAGAGAAGACACCACTACTTCAAACTTTCTGTCCTGCTCAGTGGTGACTCAGAAACTATGCTGAATTGGATTGGGTGGATTTTGCCTAGCTCGTTGGTCTTGAAATCAGCACACCGCAGACTGGCCAACGTGATTTCTGCCTGAATCCCAACTGCCCTGATGGAACGTCAGTTTCAGAGAGCAAAAGGTTCAGACTGGACTGCATGTGTTAAGCAGAAATGCGTTCACACTTTAAAAAAAATAAATAAAACCTTCTAAGTAATTAAAGTGCAGACTCACAAAAAACTTTAAAGTGATTTGGAGCCAGATGTTGCTGGAATGCATCTCCAGCTGGCATATCAGATATCTTGCCTAAAATAATTAGAAACCAGCTAAATTACCCTCCCTGTTGATTGTTAAAGAGTTGTTAGAAACACTTCTGTGTACACTACTGTGCATTCCCCCAGTTCATATATCCTGCCACCCCCCCCCAGTTTTCTAACAATATTTTATATCTAAATAGTAACTTCAGAAGATTATCTGAATTCACGGTTTAACCCTAGCACAAAGCAGGCCAATCTTAGCCAATTCTTCCATTTTCTTTGACTTTTAACAACTGATCACACCAAAAGAACATAAAAAGCACAGAAAACGCTGATCATTCAAAAGCCCTGGGATCTCTAGTGACTGATCTACTATAGAGATCCAGCACAGGAGATACTGCATTCTGATTCTGCATACTGTATGGTTAAAGTGAATACCCTCACTTCTTCAAATTAACTGCTGGTTGAGATTCTCACTATTCACTGTTAAATAGTCTAAACAAGCTGGAACATGTTTTTACTCTTTTTGGAAGATGGCAAACACAACAAATGCAAAAATAACCAAAAGAACTGGATTAAGTCTTTAATATTCTTAAACCCTTGAGTTCCTCTCATCGGTTCAATGTGCTCACTGATGCTACCCGACACAGAAATGCTCCAGAGTTGCATAACCATCCATTTTCTATCAGCTTCGTCCAATTCAGAGTCGCAGGGAGCCAGAGCCTATCCCAGCAAGCAATGGGCACAAGGCAGGATGCACAGACATGTACACACTCGCACCAGGGCCAGCTTTTCGCAGAAGTCAATTAACTTACCAGTATGTTTTTGAACAGTGGGAGGAAACTGGAGCACCTAGAGGAAACTCACATGAACCCAAGGAGAACATACAGACTCCACACAGATAGCACCACAGGTCAGGAACAGAACCCAGGACCCCAGCACTGCAAGGCAACAATGCTAACAACTGCGCCACCATGCCGCTTAGCTGCACAGAATGTTGGAGGGAATTCTTTTCGGCCTGCATTTACTTAAATTGTTACAGGAGTTAGGATTACTTCTTGTAAGAGGAAATAAAAAACAGGTTCTGAAAAGAAGCTTGCAAGTTATTTGCGACGTACAACATTTAAGAACACAGCAACAAAGATTTGTGTAACACTGATATTCTTTCCCACTTACCATACCCTGCAATTCCAATTTGAGTAACCTGTTCTGATGTGGTTCTTTCTCACTGTACCAGTGAGGTGGAATGACATTAACAAAAAGAACCACACCCAAGATGTATGCAGGATATTGGAAAGCAATGAAGTCACATGTCCACTAATGTGTATATGATTTACACAATACCTTGTGTGTGAGAGTCTGAATCAGGTCCTGTGTAGTTACATCTGCTCTGCTTTGACATTGGTGTAGTGTTGCACTGGTATAATCACTAAAGCTCTTTATTCACACATTTTCCATGCAATAATTATACATAATTGCTCACATTTGTATAGTGCTTCATCATTTCACAGGACCCTAAAGGGCTTTACATTTAACGACCCACTTCATCCACCACCACAACAGTGCAGCCAGTAGCCCCACTACCTTGCAGATCTGCTGGAGAAGTCAAAAATAATTCAGAATAATTAACGTTACCCAGAGTGTGTAAGCCATATTGAAAATTTAGCCAAGACACTGAGGTTCACACCACTGTTATTATGAAAAGTGGCATAACATGTTTGAAGATCGAGTAGTCAGGGCATCAGTTTAATATCTCATTCAAAGGGTGGGACCTCACTATATACAGTCACTATAACCAGAATACTGGTTTAACAATTCTGCTCCAGATAGATGAGCGCCACCTACAGGTCCACCAACACCACTTACTACACCAAGCCCTGGTTTTCCCGATGCCCAGAATGGATGACTAAACATCAGTACCCAAGTTTTGAACCCCGCCATGAGTGACAGGTCTGCTGCCCCAAGGCCGTGACCACAGACTGGACCAAACAAACAAATCAGCTGGATCTCTCTTCCCCCCATCAGGAGCCATGCCCCCACACCCCCTCTACCCAGAACTCCACCTCTCTACCACCATCTACTCTATTTTTCTTCAGAAATGCGCCAAAGTGCAATGCCAGATTTCCAAGTTTCAGAGCATGGGCTTATAGGGAATGTTTATTCAGCTGCTGCACGGCAAAAAAGGAGTCCTGGGAGACAGAAGAATTCCTGTTTTCCTGGCGTCAGATCACCAAAAGCCTTGTTAAAAGAAAACAGCAGTGATGGAGAGAAGACAGGAACAGCAAAAGAGACTTTTGAATATCTGAATCTGCTGCATTCATTTGATATTCTTTATTTTTGACACTCTACATAAGCACAACAAAAAATCATACTTTTAATAGGGTTATTGGTAGCGGATACTGTTTATTGTCAGGGCTTTTACAACTTGTTTCAGGACTTCAAGGGTTGGGAACAGTGGGCTGCCTGTAGCTGTGCTAGCGTTAGAAGGTATGGCTCATTAAGTGGAATAAAGATTAACATTCATCAAGCAAATGAGGTTGTTTGGAGCTCTTTTAAGGCACTCTGAAGTTTGCTCTGTGCCCTGTTTCCTTCCTTTTAATTTTGGGTTATTTGGCTTCATTGCAGAGGTCAATTCAACACAGCCACATGAAGGGAAGGGGGTTTCCCAGGTGTTTTAAAACTACAGCGGGCTTCTCTCAGGCCTTCGGTCTCAGTGGACCGGCTAGAGAAGTACTCTGGTCTATGTGCTGGTCCGCAGGTGCAGACGAAAAGGCCTGTGACCTGGACTGGTTCAAAAAGCACTGAAAACCGAATGCATTATCACTCTGTTTTTTACAGCACAAAGCAATCTAGTGCTAATATCTTCCCTTCTATCTTATTAAGCCATGAAAAGGATTGTGACTTATCAAACTTTTTACTTTCCTAGCCAATATTCTGCCTTTAATCATGGATACTGCTTTTCTTTGATTAGTGCTAGCCAAACCAGCACTGCTGACAAGACACAGAGATGAAGCAGGAAATAAAATAAACATGATCACATCCAACTGATTATTTATCCAGTACATTTGACATTTTACATTTTTCTGTCTTTTATATTTACAACAGTGGTGGTCAGGTACACGAACATTGTCAACTATGGACCCTTCTCCCTGAAACACTCTACCAAAGAGATCCTTTTGTTTGCAATATTTCAAATACATCTACAGTCAAGCCTCTTTTACTTCACATTACACAATCTGAACAGAACTCTTTGATCAGGGCTCTTTATACGTAAAACAGATCCCCTTCAGGAATTCCTTCACTTGATCAGAAGACATATGAAATACATTTATTGGCAATGTCCTGTAAGGTTTTTACCTGTAACAGCTTGCCTGATCGGAACAGACTGTTGCCCCAAATACTCTGCCTGCTTTGTTGGTGAGCAGCCCTTGTCAAGGTGACAATCATACCTGTCTGCGCTGGGAGTCCAAATACTGCACAATGAGCCTGGTGTTGACGCTGTGGCTCCATGTGTTTCCCAAAGCAGCTGTCACATACCTAGAATCCTCTGCACATTGGACGAACTCTGAAATACAAAACATCCTGTTAACAGTGGAACCCCTCGGCTACCTGTAGATCAGAAATCCACACACCACTGGAGTAGTACAGAGAGCACAACTGGAACGCATCAACAGAAAAGAGGAAAAGTCATAAACAAAAACCATGACTCCTGTCTCCTATTAGGCCTCATTAGCTCTCGCTAACATACAAATCCATCATAGAAGAAATGTTATAATAGGAATTAACTATGAAATATATGAAGAATTTTGCTATTATTTAAAAAAAAAACATTTTGCTATGACAATAAGTCTTTGAACAGTAAAAGACCGCAAAATCTGGAGGTGCAACAGTCCATGTTATGCAGACTTTGACTATAGTTGTCCAACTTCCTTGCCAAAGGAACCTATTTTATCAGTGCTATGTGGGATAGCGTCCAACACAAATACTTTTATTTTGATGATCCATCCATTTTCTAACTGCTTTAGCCAATTCATGGCTTGTCAGGTGGGGGGGAGCCGGAGCCTATCCTAGCACGCAATGGGCGCAAGGCAGGATGCACCCAGGAGAGGATGCCAGGGCACACACTCACGTCAGGGCCAAAGGTGTACAGAAACCAACCAGCACGCCTTTGGACTGCGGGAGGAAACCAAAGCACCCAGGGAAAATCCACACAATATGGGAGACCATGCAAACTCCACACAGATAGCACCTCAGGAATTGAATTGCAAGGCAGCAATGCTAACATCTGCACTACCGAGTTACTCATTTTGATGACCCATATAACACAAATAATTTTCCATGGTAAACACACAGCACTTTGTTAGAGCAATGTTTCAAGAACCAAAAGGCCTGTTGAGACTTTAAATTGTGTCCTAGATGATTTTTGTGACTTCACAGTGCTGTTGCTTGGTGCCGAAGGAACAAAAATCAAGTGTCAGCTTTCAAAAAGTGGCACAATGTCTGAAGAGGCAGAAAGCATCAGGCACTGTTCAACAATGAGATTTTTTTTTTTCAGGAAGACTCTTGACACAGATTTGACAAGTCAGTTCAGGAGCAGCAGCTTATGCACTGTGACATAAATGAACATAGCTAATAACACCACAATCAGAAACATCATTAGAGGAACAAGTAGAATACACACAACGGGATAAATAAAGGATCAGTAATATGACAAAGTCTTGCATATTTGCTTCACACAACTTAGTTTTGTAATTCTGACAACTGTTTTATTTTGGAGCCCTCAAAAACACGCAGAGATGTAGAGAATTTTGCAGGGATGTGTTTATGAAAGAACACCAAGCACAAAAGAGATCAGACACAAATGCAGCAATATCTATCCATAGAAGCAGGAGTTTAAGCCGAAGATTACACAGTACCAAAATGGAATATATTTGTGGGAAAACTGTGCAATACAGTATTAGTTTGTAGGGCCTTTCAATACAGCAGGATAATATTCTCTTCATGATACTGCCCGTTACCCAGATAACACGATTGAACAACAGTTTGAAAAAGACCTCACTATGTGAAGACACTGAATAAAACAAATTCCTGACTGACATGGACAGATTGCTTAATCACTCATGTCCCCTCGCATAACCCTTTTCTAGTAAAATCTTACCAAGAGGAAGATGTTAAAAACATGTATGAAAAAAGTGTCCAGCTGTAAACTCTTGGCTGTGTCAGCTGGTTTAATCCTCTCTAGGGACCAAAGCATTGTGAAAGACTTTTCTCTCATTGTAAATAGGCCATGTGCAGAATTTTGAGCCAGTTATATCCTGCAATTTTTCATTAAGTAAGCAAGGATACCAAGGCTGTTTCGCAAGAAACATCAGCAATTTTCATTTCCTCAAAACATTTCCTGGAAAAAAGAATATGTATTTCATGTACATAAATAAATTTGGGAAAAAAGAAGTGACTACTGCTGCAAAACAACTAAAAAGCATAAGCTTATATATTTTCAACAGGCTCTCTTTGTTTTGCTTCATTCTTTGCATCATGGTTTCTGAGCGAGTAATGTCTGTGCACAACAATTAATAAGTAAAGGTAAGCTTTAGGAGTCTTAAAACTGTCATTCTTGTGTATTTATTTACAGCAGCCATATCACCCTGCAACTCACAACTGGCAACCCACTGAAACTCAGCAGGTGTGAGCCTGGTCAGTACTGGGATGGGAGACCTCCTGGGAAAAACTAGGGTTGCTGCTGGAAGAGATGTTAGTGGGGCCAGCAGGGGGTGCTTACCCTGCAGTCCATGTGGGTCCTAATGCCCCAGTATAGTGACGGGGACACTATATTGTAAACGGGTGCCGGCCTTCGGATGAGATGTAAAACTGAGGCCCTGACTCTCTGTGGTCATTAAAAATCCCAGGGCGTTTCTCGAAAAGAGTAGGGGTGTAACCCCGGCATCCTGGCCCTTACCTATCATGGCCTCCTAATAATCCCCCTCTATGAATTGGCTACATTACTCTGCTCTCCTCCCCACTGATGTCTGATATCTGATGTGTGGTGAGCGTTCTGGCGCATTATGTGCAGGTGGATGCTGCACATTGGTGGTGGTGGAGGGGAGTCCCCATTACCTGTAAAGCGCTTTGAGTGGAGTGTCCAGAAAAGTGCTATATAAGTGTAAGCAATTATTATTATTATTTTAACTTTTAATTTGTCTGCTTCAGATAAAGTCTAAGCCAATGGCATGTTTTGACTTAGATGTTTCAAGATGTTTTGACTTAGAGCCAAGTAGTGTACAGAGTTCTTGTTTCTGGGCTGCAAGGAGAGTTCAACTTGGAAAGCTAATGTTAACCAATGTCCAGCTGCTGAGCTTCGTATAATCATAAACTGCTGATCTGTCACATTTTTCTGACCTTACATCATGTTTATACATATATATGGATATTCAGCCTCATTTTTTCACAATACTTTGCAAAATCTGCAACAGTATGAAGGCACGCCAAGTGTTATCAAGAGGAACAATTCCAGCCTTGGCAAAACTGGATTGGTTACTCTTGATATGAAAAGATATCATTGGCAGTGTATTGAAAGGATAGTGTGGGAATTGAAATGAACCACAATTTAAATAATTTGGAAGAAAACTAGGTATGAAAGACTCTCGGTTTCACATCCTGACCCACCACAGGGTCAGTCTCCTAGAGAACATTGAACCTGGAATGGGAAACTATACACTTCAAGGCTGAAAAGATCCAGAGACATCTGTTGAAGGATTAGAGGCACAACTTCATGTATTTGAGTTTAGCATAAACATTTTTTATTCCATTAAACCATGTCTACAAGTAAAGCAGTTCTGCAATAGCAGAACTGTTGATATGAGTAAGAAACCCTTTTGTCGTTGTCAAATGCACTCGTTTTGAACTTCCTCGATGAGAACGTTTAGGTTCCTTTAAGTAACGTGCTTCACATCTGGCTAAGATCATCATCTAAATCTAAGGAAACCAGCTGCAATAAAGTAAAAGCTCCAGCTACACTGAAGTAATGTTGACCCAGGCTGTATTTAACATCAGGAATTAGTATCAATCCATAAAGCAGCGCAAAATAAACAGGATTGAAGTACTAAACATTCAGGTTTGCATTCAGTGGTTTATTAATAATAGGAAACATAGGTCTGAAATTCAATGTCACTGTCCAAGGGTTTTATAGCTGTCACAATAGGACACATCTCAACACATTAATGCAGACACAGTGCCCTGCCGTGGCACATGCCAATAAAAGAAAGAATGATGAAAGCTATATAATATGATATAAAAACACCTTATGCTGTCAAAACACGTAGAGGCCCTTTAGTAACATGATGTGTTTTCCTCTTAAATATATAACCTTTGTATTTTTTAGAAACATACAGTTAACACTGAAAGGACTGGAAAATCAGATTTGAAACTGTTATTTTTGCTTTAGTGTTGAGCACTTTACATTTGTATTAATGAGATGAATATGAATAATGCGCAACCATATAATATGAGCTTTATTTTTGGGTAATTACATGCATACATTTTTAATACCGGAACAAAACCAATATACTTTGTCTTCACTCCTTGCTACTAGTATTTTTTATATCTACTGTATGATATACTGCATTTAAACATGAATACAGAATGCTAGGCCACAGTACATACTGTACCACACACTGTTAAGGTCCATACTATATGATACACACAGAGTACCAAAATAAACCTGACACTTGTTTTCTAAGCTGAGTGGGCGAAGCACGTCACTGTAATGACCCAGAAAAAAACAGTGACAGCACCCAAGTAGAGGGATTCACCTACTCCTCAGTTCTCCCACCTCTCCCTGACCACAGAGCCGTTGTGAGAGGTGCGCTGTGCAGGACCATGTAACAGCCCTCACTTGAAAGAGCACTACAGAAAAGGAACCAAAAGTTTTAGAAAGATGAAACATATCTATTTTTTTTTCTTTCTACAGCTTGCCTCCAGCACTTACAACAAAAATAGCCAAGGAACTGTTGCCACTTACTGTAGGTAATGTTTGAAATAAATAAAGAAGGATTATTAAGTGAAGACATTCATAGTGCATACTGTTTGAAAATCTTCTGGTCTCGCGATTTTCTGAGCTGATGCCAGCTTGTACTGTATGTCGGAACAACACACATTTTAACTGCCAAAAGCAGCAATGTCTTACAGAACCACCTCGTTCTCTGCTGACTCCTCTCAAATGTGGCCTAGTATTCTTAGACCAACCAAGTGCCACACAGGAAACATGCCTTTGAGAGGAGCTGAGAGAATTAAACACGAGCAGAAAAAGCATTGCAGAAAAACAAATGTGAAAAAAAACATTGCCCTTTAAAACTACTTACTGCTCAAACTCAGTTTCGTTTAAATAAGGAAACTAACATTTGCCAGAATTTTCCAAATCATGCCGTGTGCATTTAATATGAATTGGTCTGACACTCCATATTTATTTTGGCCCTTTACATTCAACACCCAATTGTGATGGAAGGTACTAACCTCAAAACATGCAGAGCAATCCATGTGCTGAGAGGAGCAAAGCACTGCTAATGTGTA